GCCGCGCGGATCGAGGCGGTCAAGAAGGGGACGGCGTACATGAACGTGTGGATGTACGTGATCCGCGAGTTTGAGGACGCGATCGACGACTGCGAGAACTGCGCGGACGGTCTGAACTGCAACGAGTTGTCGGACTCGTTCGGGCCGGACAGCCCTCAGTACAAGGCGGTGCACGCGTGGGACGAGGGCGTCGCCTTCTACGCCGGCTCGCTCGAGGGGCCGAACGTGGGTGGCAGCTCGGCCGGCAAGATGGTTTACCGGCTCGCGGAGAAGCGGTGCGCCAACTTTGACACCTGCGAGTCGGGGAGCACGGGGCTGTCGAACGTCAACAAGGAGCTGCTCGCGGACTTCACTAAGGGCGAGGCGTACCTCATGGACGGCAACTGCTCCGCCGTGCGCCCCATCGTCGACACGATCATCAAGCAGATGACGGTGCCGCTCGTGCAGGGCTCGCTCCGCTACGCGTACAAGGTCGGCTCGGATCCGGTCTACGATGACGTGGGTACGGGTCGGTCGCAGAAGAACGCGGCGGAGGGCGCCGTCTTCACGGCGGCCGTGCTGCCCCTCGTCCACGAGTGCAACGTCGCCGCTGCCAAGACCATCAGCGACGAGATGAAGTTCGGCCTGTACGACCAGGGCGACTACCCCGACTTCGCGGCGGTCAAGGCCGCCTTCGAGAGCACCTACGACTGCCTCGGCATCACTTGCGCCGACGTGGGCAGGCTCCCTGCAACGACAGCCTGCAACGACACAAACCGAAATGGGAAAGCTTGGCCCGACATCGCGGGCTACACCCCCGGCTCGGACGTGACCAAGCACGCCAACCTCGACCTCGACCAGCAGGCGCTGGAGGCGGCGCTCAAGGAAAGCACTCCGAACTCTGAGCTGGCCGAGGCCTGGTACGCCGTCGGCGGGAACTCGCTGTCGGGCAAGGCCCCCAACGGGCTCCGCACCATGAAGGGCTTCTCCACCAGCGCCGAGAGCAAGATGTACAACGTCAACGACTGCGCCGGCTGCCCGTACAAGACCTTCTCGGCCTTCTACGACTACTACGAGGACTTTGACTACGCCGACAAGTGGGTGAGCGCCGCCCTCGACGGCACCAACATGGCCTTCAGCAGCGGGCGGCACGGCCCGAACAACTTCGCCACGCTCGGCGACGCCGCGCGGATCGAGGCGGTCAAGAAGGGGACGGCGTACATGAACGTGTGGATGTACGTGATCCGCGAGTTTGAGGACGCGATCGACGACTGCGAGAACTGCGCGGACGGTCTGAACTGCAACGAGTTGTCGGACTCGTTCGGGCCGGACAGCCCTCAGTACAAGGCGGTGCACGCGTGGGACGAGGGCGTCGCCTTCTACGCCGGCTCGCTCGAGGGGCCGAACGTGGGTGGCAGCTCGGCCGGCAAGATGGTTTACCGGCTCGCGGAGAAGCGGTGCGCCAACTTTGACACCTGCGAGTCGGGGAGCACGGGGCTGTCGAACGTCAACAAGGAGCTGCTCGCGGACTTCACTAAGGGCGAGGAGTACCTCGTGAAGGGCCTCTGCACCGCCGCGCGCCCCATCGTCGACAGGATCATCAAGCAGATGACGGTGCCGCTCGTGCAGGGCTCGCTCCGCTACGCGTACAAGGTCGGCGTGGCGCCGGACCCCGCCAGCGATCGGTCGCAGAAGAACGCGGCGGAGGGCGCCGTCTTCACGGCGGCCGTGCTGCCCCTCGTCCACGAGTGCAACGTCGCCGCTGCCAAGACCATCAGCGACGAGATGAAGTTCGGCCTGTACGACCAGGGCGACTACCCCGACTTCGCGGCGGTCAAGGCCGCCTTCGAGAGCACCTACGACTGCCTCGGCATCACGTGCGCCGACGTGGGCAGCCTCCCTGCAACGACAGCCTGCAACGACACAAACCCGAATGGGAAAGCTTGGCCCGACATCGCGGGCTACACCCCCGGCTCGGACGTGACCAAGCACGCCAACCTCGACCTCGACCAGCAGGCGCTGGAGGCGGCGCTCAAGGAAAGCACTCCGAACTTTGACCTGGCCGAGGCCTGGTACGCCGTCGGCGGGTACTCGCTGTCGGGCAAGGCCCCCAACGGGCTCCGCACCATGAAGGGCTTCTCCACCAGCGCCGAGGGCAAGATGTACAACGGCTGCGTCGGCTGCCCGTACAAGACCTTCTCGGCCTTCTACGACTACTACGAGGACTTTGACTACGCCGACAAGTGGGTGAGCGCCGCCCTCGACGGCACCAACATGGCCTTCAGCAGCGGGCGGCACGGCCCGAACAACTTCGCCACGCTCGGCGACGCCGCGCGGATCGAGGCGGTCAAGAAGGGGACGGCGTACATGAACGTGTGGATGTACGTGATCCGCGAGTTTGAGGACGCGATCGACGACTGCGAGAACTGCGCGGACGGTCTGAACTGCAACGAGTTGTCGGACTCGTTCGGGCCGGACAGCCCTCAGTACAAGGCGGTGCACGCGTGGGACGAGGGCGTCGCCTTCTACGCCGGCTCGCTCGAGGGGCCGAACGTGGGTGGCAGCTCGGCCGGCAAGATGGTTTACCGGCTCGCGGAGAAGCGGTGCGCCAACTTTGACACCTGCGAGTCGGGGAGCACGGGGCTGTCGAACGTCAACAAGGAGCTGCTCGCGGACTTCACTAAGGGCGAGGCGTACCTCATGGACGGCAACTGCTCCGCCGTGCGCCCCATCGTCGACACGATCATCAAGCAGATGACGGTGCCGCTCGTGCAGGGCTCGCTCCGCTACGCGTACAAGGTCGGCTCGGATCCGGTCTACGATGACGTGGGTACGGGTCGGTCGCAGAAGAACGCGGCGGAGGGCGCCGTCTTCACGGCGGCCGTGCTGCCCCTCGTCCACGAGTGCAACGTCGCCGCTGCCAAGACCATCAGCGACGAGATGAAGTTCGGCCTGTACGACCAGGGCGACTACCCCGACTTCGCGGCGGTCAAGGCCGCCTTCGAGAGCACCTACGACTGCCTCGGCATCACTTGCGCCGACGTGGGCGGCCTCTCGCCTGGCGGCGTGGCGGCGGCGTGCGACGGAGCGCCCTCCTGCCTCCCTGACGATGAACTTGACTACGACGCTGATGGAGAATTTCGTCTCGCTGACGCCACATTCTTAGCTCAGGTCTGGGCTAACCAATCATCGTTTACAAACCCATCGCCGGGGGTCACAAAGCTCCCCCCTTGCAATGGGGGTGACTTTAACGGCGATGGGGATGTCCGCCTCCTAGACGCCGTTCTTTTGGCGCAGTACTGGGCCTTGAACAACCCGAATAGCCGACGCCGCGCAACGGCGAACGAATGGTCCGGTGACAGCCCGGGACGCTCGCTCGCGAGCACCAGCACGCACGGTACGATCGTTGGACGCAAGGACGGGCAAAAGATGCAACTCTTTGCGTACTCGAGCACGCCCTGGACCACCGTTGAGGTCGCCTTTGCCGACGGCGAGATCGAGAGCGTCGCCGCCGAGAACGGCCTCACTGCGATCATCCACGCGAACAAGAAGCAAGTCGGCATCGGCGATCTGTCTGGTTCGGGCGCCACCCACCCTTCCGGCCTCGCCATGACCGTCACCTTCAGTCCTGACACGGACATGGACAGCGTTCGCATCGACTTCTCGTCGGAAGTGACCGCGATTGTCCACGCCATCGCCCAAGTGCAGGATGTTGGGCCAGGCCCCGCCGGCCTCTTGTTCCACTGAGGGGCGATCAAACCGGAGGTGCCGTGTCGACGGCGCGAGCTGATAGCCCCCCGCTACCCAGTTGCACACTCGTGCGACGCAGCGGGGGGCCATGACTACGTTTACGAAAACATAAGTAGTCCCGCGAGGTGTGAATTTGGCCGCTGGGCCACGTGACACAACCCACAGGATTAAAAATTTGTGACGCAAATGTTCGAACGAGTGGTCGTGTCGTGCACCTTCGGGTGTTGGGGGAGTCGTGGGAGCCGCTCAGGACCACGATTTGGGGGACGCAATTCGCCTGTGCGCTGTGGACTAGTTGCAATATGCAAATACGGGTGGTGACTGGTGTCATAATCCATATCATAATGTATTGACTTTTGAGATGTTTTTTGGTCCGTATTGCTCCCAGCGCCCTCGCCCGCGCTCCCTGAGGCCATGGCTGGTGCTACTAGTATGGAGGGCTACCTGGCTACCGCGAGAGCGACCCAACTCGTCGACATCGTCCGATGATTGTGCCTCAAAGTCAGCCTCCGGAGGCTATCGTGGGGTCGAGCCGGCAGTAGCCGCGACATGTGGTTCCACCGCCCCTCGCAGGCTTTGCCTCTGACCGCCACCGTTCCCAGGCTGCCTAATGGGGTGGAAAGGAAGGCTGGGCGAGCGTATAGAAGCGTGCTCGACCTCGTCGTGGCAACCTGCACGGCAGCGCTGGTAGGCGCGATGAGCGTCGTGCCACCTGACCCAAGACGGGTCGCAGGCGTCGTACCGAGCGTGTCGAGACCGTGTCCTGATGTGATCTGCACGGGTGAGTCACGTCGGCGTCAAAGGAGCGACGTGCGATCTGTCAGAGCTTGATCTCCGATCTCAGCGGCGTCGAGTCGTCTCCGGCGCGCGACAAAGGTACATACCCAGGACGCGCAGAGGCAGCTGCGACCCCGCCGAGTGCACGGACAGATCGCACGCCGCTTGTTGGACGACGCCGTGCTCTCGGCGGGGTCACAGCTGCCTCTGGAAGGCACCGAGAGGTACAATAGTGCGCAAATGGTCAAAATCAAGGTTTTGTAAGTCGAGCTGCGCCACAGTGAAATGGAACTAGCCAACGTTCCCTCCATGGCGCGAAGCCGTCTGCCCTCTACAACTGTTACGGGCCCCAAATTAATGTTAGGCACCCCTATCAGCAGCACACCATGACCAAGTATAACCGGCGACCTACTTCTCCACACACACACAAACGACACAAACTCCAAACTGAGACGAAAAATAGCAAAAAAGACTCGACACCTTCTCACCCTCAGTCATCCGCCGGCGGCTCGAGGAACTCGGCTTGAAACTCCGCAATTGGCCTCGCCGAGGTAGTCGTGCGGCGTCCGCTCCGCCTGCGTGAGGAGGCGCGAGAAGTGCGGGAAGATGTCGCCCGGCTCGAGGCGCAGGTCAAAGGCGAGCTCCGCGTAGGCCGAGAACTCGGAGCGGAAGACGGTGGCGCGAGGGATGGAGTAGTGGCGCTCGACGGCGGCGAGGAGCGTGCCGAGCGACTCGGGCTCGTTCCACTTGGCGGCGAGCGAGAGCGAGACGGCCGCGACGAGCTTGCGGTTCGCCTTGTTGACGACGCGCCGCAGCACGAGCCGCTCGAAGTAGACGTGCGCGAGGGCGGCGGTCGACACCTGCGGGGAGGGTCCGGGAAGGTTCAGGGAAGCGTCTCTGACGTGCGCGAGGGCGGCGATGTCGACACCTCGCAGTTGGCCTCGAGAACCCACTCGAGCAGCGACGCCTGGTGAGAGTGGGCTCGGGTGAGCTCGGGTGAGCTCGGGTGAGCTCGGGCAATCTCGAGAGCCCACTCGAGCACCGACGCCTGCGGGCAAGGCGGGGCGGGGCGGGCAAGGCGGGGGGAAGGTGGGCGGCGGCGGCGGGCGGCGGCGGGAGCGGCGCCTTTGCGGCGCGGATCTTGGAGAGGGTGAGGCCGCGGCTGACCCACTGGTGCTTGAGGGCCCACTGCTCGTTGAGCTGGGCCTGAGAGGGGGGGGGGGGGGGGATGGGCAGGGGGCGGGGGGATGGCAAAGGGCGGGCGGTGAAATGGGCAAAGGGCGGGGGCGGGGCGGGAAGGGTTGGGGCGGGTCCCGGAGGGGTGTGTGTGCCGTCCGAGGGAGGGGGGGCGGGTGCCGCCCCCCCTGTGTGTGGGTGGGGTGGGGTAGGGTGGGGTGGGGTGGGGGAAGGGTGGGGGAGACAAGGACTCCGCTCCCCCTTGAGGGCGGCGAGGCCCCCCGTAGGGCAA